TCTGTTTGCGTTACACTGCGACAGTGAAGATCGAAATGAAATATTCATCCGAAATATCGGTTGACTTTCAACGGGCTACATGGCGTTAAATTCTACAAGAGAAAATCTGTTGTTTAATGATGTGCGGAAAATTAAATAGTTCAAAATTATGGACCCTTTTCTACTAAAGGAAGTTTAGAGCTACGTTGGTTATTACAAGGATATCAAGATTTTATGCATATTATTTATTTCAATTTATCTTGAATAAATCTTCTAATAGGAGCCGGGTTAGCTCAGTTGGTATAGCGACTGGCTAAGGACTGGAGGACCGAGGGGTCGGAGTTTAAGTCCCGGTGGCGGTAAGAATTTTCACCTCTCCAATTTGTCCAGACCGTCTTTGGGGTCCACCCAGCCTCCTATCCAATTGGTACCGGGTCCCTTTCCCCGGGGTTAAAGTGGACGAAGCGTGAAGCTGACCACTCACCTCGAACTAGTGCAAAAGTCAAGAAAATGTGCATCTATACATCCACTCCCATATACGCCTTCAAGGCGCAGTGCTTAATTAATTAAGCACAGGGACAACTTTACCTTTTAAACCTCCTAATGATCTGAAAGTGTTTAACTGATCTTATATATTTATTCAAAGTTCATATTTTTAATTCCAACCCTGATTTAGCAGGAAATCTCCTTCTTTATTTTGCTGTTACAATAAGGATTAGGCATCGCAGGCTCAACCTTACACATTCACCCCACTGCCCCTTCTCCTTCTGTCTCTGTTTCGCCTCTGAACAAAGGCGAAAAAACTTCCCCATGAATGGGGCTAACTCCTCATTGATGAGAATTTATGGCACCCTTTTTAGTTTTTGTATCTTATTATTACACTTCATCACTCTCTTGTTTCAAATTCCCTTCGTCTTCTCTTCTACTCTTTATTACTGCACGCTTAGTCGCGTTCTGTCCGTCTCAGTAATTCGCAGTATCACGGTTCGCTGTTTCTGTGACGTCCACGAGACCCTTGAACCATTCGCTGAGAGCTTCAGACAATGAAATCCTTCAAACACGCTCAATTACATTCATCACTACAGTTGGTTCACGTCTTCTGAGTTATAGTGCCGTGTAGTTAAGAGCCCGACGTTTCGGGTGAACATGACACCCCATCTTTGTGGTAGAATAGTAAGCAGAAATTTGTTTCATGTCTGAGTTTGTTCCTTGCTTGACGTGCTCTTCTACTTTCAAAATTAAGGTTACGTTTCCTCAGAAACGTCGGGATCTCTCCAAATTGCACAGTCACAGCACTGTGAACCTCAAATTCAACATGGTTAGTGCTTGCCTGTAGCGTGACAAACTGCTGAACCTAGATGAAACATGTTCCCATTTCGTCCATAAATCTCGGTTCAATATAAAGCCTTCTTCATTTTCCTGTTTCCGACTTCACGAGATGTTGCCCTCCCATTTGACAATGTGACGTCAGAGACTTCAGTGTTCTCTAAGTATATAATTTAGTAATATCTTTGGAGGTCTATCTGTTGTCATTCTTAAATATATGCTGCTACTAAATTTCTTTTTACCTTTCTAGTCTCTCCGTTACATTGAATATTTTGTAAGCTGCTCCTATGTCTCTCTCTCTCTCTGTCTAGAAAACAGAAACTGACGGCCGTGGGTATTCGTGGCGCTGACCACGCGACACCCTCTATCCGCTAAAGTTGGCACTAACTTCGCTGACAAGGGGCGGTTGCTCGGTCGGTATAGTTAGCTTGCGGACTAAAACCACGGAGTTTGTTTTTGTCTGTTCCTACGTCTCTACACAGTTTCGATCTAGGAGATGCTATCCAGCCACTGGACGTAGAAATTTCATTTCAGCGGACTTAATTTCACTTTTGTCTGATCAAATAATTTGCAGTTTTCACTTCCAAAAGTCAGCATTGACTTTTCAGTTGTTTATTTTTCGAGGGTTCTTTATCTCCATGTTCTTATCTTTCCATATATTCTCTGAAATTTACTTAGCTTCATGTTCATAACTTCCTTCACGTAGTATAATGCATAGAAATCCAAATAACTGAAGCATGATACGCGTCCTGTTAATTTGTTGTCTATTGTTATTTTAAACCTTACGTGGGTTTTCTTCTAAAATGTCATAGTTTTATTTTCGTTGCTGAAATGCTCGTGATAAAGCCATCTGCTATGTTATCAAATCTATTGACTGTTCTTTGAAAGCCGTCCTCTGACTCATAGAACGAGCCTGGTCGTCTGCAAACAGGATTTTGTTTTACCAGTATAACATAAATTATTCGATAAACACTGTTCAGTACTAAAATTTCGAAGGGCGTTTATCCTAAAATTGCCAGTACGTAATTCCCTGGTTTTATCAATATTCATTGATCGATTATGGACACGAAAATACAGACGGACGGGCAGATATGGACACTGAGGTTTAAAATCTCAACTTAATCACTTTCAATTTAATTTATTTTCTAATGTTCGGTACCGCTCGGTCGGTATAGTTCGCTTGCGGACTAAAATCACGGAGTTTTTAATGTTCGGTAAGTCGCAGTTAAGTTACTTGCCAGCGCCATGCAGATGAGGCAACTTCTCTTTCGCCACTGTTAGGCGGGCAGCATACACACGTGCTGCCAGAATGTTGGACATTGCAGTATTCCCTATGCAAGAGCTGTTCTGTCTAGGGGCGGCAAATTTCACGGGTAATTTCCCTCAACAACCATCAAGATCCCATGCATATCTTAAAGATAAGACTAATAATACCAAAGCCTTCACTTCCAAGCAGTTCTGTTTTTAAGACTTGGTGTATATTGGAATAAGAAATTAATTTGCAATTGCTTACAATATTTTAATATTTACAATACAAAACGATAGTTATCAAACTAAAAAAATTTTGAAATCGCAAAAATTAAGAATCTACGGTTGACAGGTCTGCTTACAAGCAGCTTACACTATTTATTTACATCACAGCATCGTTAAGCGTCAATATTTATTGAACCCCAATTACAAATTGAAATTGTTTCTAATATCCACACGGTTATGACCAAAGTCGAATATAGAAATCCGAATACAAATCAATACATTGTAGCAGAGCTGGGTTGACTGCCTGTTCAGAATACACGTGCCTTATCTTAAGCCTAGAGACGACTTGTGTTTGGAAACAAACCGATAAGAAAGTATTTGCACCTAAAGGAACATTAAGAAAATGAGAAACATTCATAATGAGGTAAAGGTAAAAAGGGTAAAGCCATCCCTGTAACAGGCCGTGAAAACCAATAGGGTTGTGAGATGTTGACAACTGTTACATACTACATCGAACACTTCTTATAACCACTTTGCACGAACTCCACGGAAAATGTCGCCTTATATTGTTAAAGAGCGTGTTTACAGCTCCGTTGCCTAGCAACAGATGTCCTGTCGTTGCGAGCATGTGTGTTGCCGGAATGTATTTACCGAACCGTTACCTAGCAATTGCGTCCGGGTTTTTTGTCTTCATTTAATTACGGCACCATAGGCTAGAACAGAGCTCCTCAAAACACAGTTACAGTGAGGAATGATAAAATTTCTAAGTACTATACGGCGAATCGTTAATATATTTGTAGGTACAAACAAATTTAAAATTCGTACTAAACTTAACGTGTTGCTACATATACAGCATACACAGAAACAGACAACATGCGAGTCAATGCGTTGTTCGTAAACAGAACCACCGCCGTTTACCGAAAGTAGTATGACATGGTAGCAAATGTTTTTGTAGATTCTAAAGGGTTCTGACGATGGTGGATGACACACAGAATAACTGGGGTTTTGGACTTTTTCCATCATCCAGAATTTTAGGTAACGGGACACGACATTTCGGAAACTGGATCTGTTTCCGTCTTCAGGTGAGAAAGGAAGACACCTACTCAGTTGGGCCCCTTAGAAAGAGCTAATGGTCCAGTGATTGAGATTAGCTCTTTCTAAGGGGCCCAACTGAGTAGGTGTCTTCCTTTCTCATTTGAAGACGGAAACATATCCAGTTTCCGAAAGGTCGCGTCCTCTATTACCTAAAATTCAGGACGATGGAAAAAGTCCGAAACCCCAGTAATTCTAAATGTTTTTGTGCCGATGTATACTTGCCTCGGACCGGCGGTTATGAAACAGAGGAGCTAACAAATAGCATTAAGAAACCTATTCAGCATAATCTATGTCAGGGCGATGAACAGAACCGAGCACCTCCCGAATACGAATCCAGATCTTCAAGGACATTCAAGCCTACATTGTTGCTACCGCTGTAATGTTCCCTTCATGAGTAATATTAAGAGAAAACGTGTGAATTATTCGCTGGAAATGGGGCAATTTCCAGTATAACGTACCTGGGTAACATGACCTTTGGATAGAGCTAGGCTCCCTCTCTACCCTCTACAAAGGTACATAAAAATTGTGTTATGGTTACCTCATATCAAAAGAATGCCGAGTGGGCGTGTCTATTCCGTTTTCCATGGCGTTTAGAAAAATTAAAAAAAAAAGTGTGATACATGTATGAACCACGAATATCAGCAATTGTAACTGCGTGGATTTTGTTTAAAATTCTCGCATTTTGTGTGTGACATTGCTAGGGGAAATTTGCATCATAAAAGGATTTACAGTTCCATACGTGTGGCTGTGATGTCGGGCTGCAACGCTTTTCATTCAAGAAGAAAGGGTGTGAGGAGTTGGTTGAGTCGATTGAATTGAATTTAGTTGCTGAAAATCCCTTGCTCCGAGCCTAACCCCTGCTTGCTGGCTTCCTATTGTTGACTCTGCTCCTACTGGGAGAGACGGAAGGAGACTACGGTCGATCTTGCGGGCGCCAGGGGCCAAACCCACCCTCCTTTATTTCGGTAACCATATGGAGCCATTTTTTCTCGCGCGTTTAAAAATAAAATGGTCGGGATCAGAATCAGGAGTTCCGTGGTTTGAATACTGAACGCAGTTTACTTGAATCTTAAATTTTAACGAGAATGAAAAGATGTGTAGCAAGTTAGAAAACCAGAGATTTACTGTTAGAATGTCTGACTGGGTGACAGAATGAAGAAATGTGTGACTGACAGACCGGAAGACCGAGTGATAGTTGGGGTGACAGACTGAATTGCAGGAAGAATGGTTGGCTTAACTAGAGTTGGAGTGGCAGACTGAATTGCAGGAAGAATGGTTGACTTAACTAGAGTTGGAGTGGCAGACTGAATTGCAGGAAGAATGGTTGGCTTAACTAGAGTTGGAGTGGCAGACTGAATTGCAGGAAGAATGGTTGACTTAACTAGAGTTGGAGTGGCAGACTGAATTGCAGGAAGAATGGTTGGCTTAACTAGAGTTGGAGTGGCAGACTGAATTGCAGGAAGAATGGTTGACTTAACTAGAGTTGGAGTGGCAGACTGAATTGCAGGAAGAATGGTTGGCTTAACTAGAGTTGGAGTGGCAGACTGAATTGCAGGAAGAATGGTTGACTTAACTAGAGTTGGAGTGGCAGACTGAATTGCAGGAAGAATGGTTGGCTTAACTAGAGTTGGAGTGGCAGACTGAATTGCAGGAAGAATGGTTGACTTAACTAGAGTTGGAGTGGCAGACTGAATTGCAGGAAGAATGGTTGGCTTAACTAGAGTTGGAGTGGCAGACTGAATTGCAGGAAGAATGGTTGACTTAACTAGAGTTGGAGTGGCAGACTGAATTGCAGGAAGAATGGTTGGCTTAACTAGAGTTGGAGTGGCAGACTGAATTAGGGATGGAGTGGATGACTAAATTAGGGGCGGACTGGCATACTGAATTAGAGGAAGAGTGGCTGACTGGATTAGAGGTGGAGTGGCTGACTGGATTTGAAGTGGAGTGGCTGACTGAGTCATAAGTGGAGTGGCAAGGGGAAAGGTTCGATTGCTGGAAGAGTGACTAACTAGATAACAAACAAAACGGTCGGGCCAAGTTATAGGAGTAGCTGACTAGTAGACACACAGCACGCGCCTGCTTGATATTATGGATATCGGGTCAGTAACATCACCGTGCTAAGAACCAAGTTGAATGGTCCCTCGGACACGCAAAATAACATTCTTCATCTTCTTATTCTTCCTCCTCCTTTCACGTCTTCTAGCCTGCTCCCATCCAAAATTAATTTCCGAAACTATTACTCTTTGAGACAACTGGTAGGGCTCTATGGATGGGGAATAGGTTTCATCGGAAGGCCTTACTGACAATAACTGCTTGGAGCTGAGCTCTTATTAAGAAACTGCCATTCGGTAAAATATTCAAGAATATCACAAAACTTTATGGAACCTGTAGGTATATCATCGTGTTCTGGTCCCTATCCCAAGCCAGATGAACCCAATTTAAACTACCCTATCCCATTTCTCTATGATATTTTCCCTATGCATAATCTTATGTCCATTTTCCTCAATTATGGTCGTTACAAAGAATTCATCTACATTCAAAGCCCTGTGGAACATTTTGTAACTGGCAGCTTTTATCAAGATGAGGAATTGTTAGGCCAGCATTCAACTTCCAAGCTGGTGGACCGTTCCTTGTCGGCTGTCGGCGACTCTTCATATCTGGAGGCTGTCTCCTCCGCCCGCAACCCGAGGACGCCCCATGCCGTGGTGACAAGGGACCCACTTAACGTGGGACTCCGCCTGCACATGCCAACACCACACAAGCAGTATTCAGACTCAAGCCCGTGCCTGGAGTGATTGTACCAGAAATTGATATTACACGCCGAAAGCTGTACTCGCGAATCTATAATCATCTGCTCCAACCAGCGCTGTTTCGCTGCGAAAACATACAGGAATACATTTCTTTCGGTTTACACGTTTCGAAACGTGTTCAACAAGGCTGCTAATAAACACACTCCGGAGAGGGATTGTTCGATATTTTATGGGGGAATAGCTATCGTATCGAATGAGGGGTGAGAGTAGCAGGAAACGTTAAAGGGAGGGGGTGAAATCAATTAGTATGCGACTGAAAAACAGGGGCCAGCACTTAACAAGGTGGACTTGTTCCTAATGAAATTCCTTGTGCAGCCTCGCCACAGAAATAATTAGAGGACCACCCTGTTTTTATTGCCTCATTTGGAGGCACGGTGTGCAGAACGGAGTGCATAGGGTGTGTAGCAACAGGCGACAGATAGTCATCTGCTCGATTTCATAGGCAAAATCACTGCAGCCCTAACGCCTCTCACTGTTTTATTCAGTTTCGTTCATCTTCCCTGTCGGCATCCCTTCGTGACCAGAACGCAATTATTTGTGCTTTATCTGACTGCACTCACACGTCACAGCTCAACTAACTGTAGGAAAAGGCGAAGTTGTCCACCCCACACCATGCAGACGTATGAGGAACTGGAGGTATAGCTCCACCATTCCTAAAGTAGGAATTATATTGATGTAAATAGATAGCTTCATGCCTCAGCCGCTTTACACGCTTAAAAAGCGCTCTGTATCCACTGGATAGGAGGCTCGGCAACATGCTGCCGACTTCATACTCGTTTCTACCTGAAGATGGATGTGAAATGTCCCCCGGAAACGTCTGTTAACTTTCAAAGCACTACATGGCGTTATAGCCAAGAAGACGGAAAAAAAAATCCTAACCACAGCTGAGAGTACTTCAGTTCTTACTAATTTTACTGTATTTTTCCCAGGGTGATTGTGGAGCAATTGGTGGAATGAAGATTGGCAGGGGAAACCGAAGTACTCGGAGAAAACCTGCCCCAGCGCCACTCTATCCACCACAAAGCCCACTTGACCACACCCGAGATCGAACCCGGGTCGCCGCGGTAGGAAGCCAGCGACTAACCGCTTGAGCTATGGCGCGGCCCTACATGAAGTTAGTGGCATTTAATGAATTGAAGGAGTTTCCAAAATTGCCTATAGACGGTAGACACGTATTATATGACTCGTGCAGAATCTGAGAACAAAATATAACAGAAATTCTTCCGCTCTGACTCACTGAGTAACTAGCAAAGCTATGTTCTTGCAAGGAGATATTCTGATAACGACACCATCTCGTCTGGTGGCGGAGTGCTAACGTTTCGGAGAAGCATATTAAGATATGCTTAAGATACAAGAAGATACAAGAAGTATGAGGGACAGTCAGTAAATACGTAGAGACCACAATTAAATATGAAACGTAAAACTTGTGGTATCCAAAGCTGGGAAAAAACATTTTTTCTCTCGACATATCCTCCACCAATTGGTACACTTGTCCCATTGCTTTACCAATGCATCGAAACCCGCAGCAGAGAAGTCTCCGTTTCAACCTCTTCGTCAGTAGCGAAACGTTTGCCACCGAGGTGAAACCGCATTACGAGACAAACATTTCCCACAGTGAACAGGAAATATATCTTTATGAATATCCTTCGCACGGAGTCATTTTGCTCAAAGAAAGAGCACAGCAGAACGCTGATCTTCGGTAGTAAATTCCTCAAGCACGGCCGCTATTTTTACAATAGAAACCAGAATCTGAACATGCGCATGCGCGTCTGTTACCTAGACTGTCATGAAGCTGGGCTGTGCTGCTACCTAGTGATACACACTGAAAATCTATTACGTCTATTGCAGCTTTTTTAGTTCCATCTGTGATCTATTTACTGACTCTCCTTCGTATGTCCACCACGGAGTGAAGAATTGTAGACATATACCTCCCCCATTAAATCTTTATGGTATATTGCTTAATTAATTAAGCACGGAGATAAATTAATATTTTTTATAACTCTTCATAACCATGGCTGTGAGGATCTCAAATCCTACATCGTAATAAGACTCTCAAATCTCAAGCAATAAAATAGTTTACATCCTAACATCTGGTGTTTAAACAAAAGACGGAATTTTTTTTAATTCCTTTAGTGAGCGGTGAAGTCCAACTGGGTTCACTCGGCGTGTCGGCCACTGATTTCACTACTGTAGCCTTCCCCGGGTGATTATGATGATGGATAATTTGGTGGAATGAATATTGGCAGGGGAAACCGAAGTACTCGGAGAAAACCCGCCCCAGCGCCACTTTGTCCACCACAAATCTCACTTGAACAGACTCGGGATTGAACACAGGCCGCCGCGTTGGGAAGCCAGCGACTATCCGCTTGAGCTATGGAGCGACCCACAGACGGAAGATGGAAAGAGCCTGTACTGTATAAGTCTCAATAGCGGAGTATTTTTAAGCGGTCACCAAACACCCAAGAAAATGAACATTATACTACACGTACAAGTCTGAAATGGAACACTCACCATGTAGAGCCTTCAGGTAAGCTTTCCCTGCATTTATCAACTGCCGTGCACCAGGGTTGAATTTGTCCAGGATATTCTGCAACAAACAGGAAGCACGGAATTAACTCACGCAGCAGTACATGCGCACTGACTGCGGTAGCTGAATGTTCATTGGTTGGTTCATTGGAGATGCCTCTTGCAGAATACAAGCTTGTTGACACACTCAGAGGCAGTACGAGTACGCGTTGTCGCTACCGTCTTCAGTTAATTCTCTCGTGGCTAGCCTGAAAACTGGTGAAAATGCAAAGCATTGTGAGTTAAATCGCAGGAAGCGGTTACTCGCTGGCTTCCCATCGCGGCGGTCCGGGTTCGATCCCGGGTCTGGTCAAGTGGGACTTGTGGTGGACAAAGTGGCGCTGGGGCAGGTTTTCTCCCGAGTACTTCGGTTTCCCCTGCCAATCTTCATTCCACCAACTGCTCCACAATCACCATCACCTATCATCTGGAGCTGGTACGAAAGGTCAGAAGTGGTCTTTTGTACGTACGGTACATATTCCGCAAGTATGGAACCATAGGCAGTATGGAAATCTGACACAGTTGTTACAAAATATGTTCAATACCGTATTTACGCATGTATAGGCCGCACATTTTTTTGCCAAAAATTCAAGAGGAAAACTGGGGTGCGGCTTATATTCGAAATATTCGAAATCACAATTATTTAAAAAAAAATTATATTCATAATTAGTAATAGAGGGTGTTCTACTCCTGAAATAATATTCCAAGAAAATTATTTTTTCTATAATTTCTGTCTGAAAATTGTGCTGCGGCTTATACACGCACGCGGCCTATACATGCGTAAATACGGTATATTCAGCACTCATGTCGACACACAAGTTTTTTCTAGTCCAAGAGAGCGTCATTATCTGTCTCGCGGTATGAATAACTTCATGCTGTGGAACTTGCCTCTTGAAGATTCCGAGCATGCGCACTTTCACAACATGAACCTTGGCTTTTACTCGTAGATGGCCACACAGGTAAAGTCAAGAGGTGTGAGGTCAGGAAACTGTGGTGGTCTTCAGCTGATTCCCATGTTCGTTCCCACCGTTCGCTACTGCGATAAAGAAGATGTATTTTGCCTACGGTTCCAACTTACGGAAAATTCTGTAGATTTCACTTTGGATATTAATGGAAGTTGGACAAAGAAAAGGGGAAAGCAACTGCATGGGCAATGAAGCATTAACCAATACTAATACCAGCGCAGGCAAAACATCACATTAAAATCAGCTTACTGGAACATTTATAAAAAGGGCTGTTTTAGTCCTGAATTTTATGTGCCACTAAGATAAAGAGAACAGGAGAAGAGCGGACGTAAGACGGGTACACTACTTACACTGGTAATTCTGGAAAGAGGAACACATAGCGACCTCTAATGGATCTATTTCAAGAGGGCTAGTGACGTGTAGGCTCACTAACATTATTAGAAGTAGCATAAAATCGATTAATTTAATGATGAGTAGGACATTTGATTAAGGATAAACAGGGAGACAGAATGGAATGATACTACAATATAATCAGAATGACATTTCAAGGAAGAATTAAACACGTGAGCAACAACAATTGTAGTGAAACTGTGTATTCCATACAGCGACTCGTCCATATCAGCAATGGGTCCAACCTGGCCTCCTATCCACTGGATATCGAGTGCTTCCTCTTTGGAAGTAAAGAGGCCTGATTGACCATAAACCTTCATGCAGTGCCATTGTTTAGAATGCACTGTGTGTTACTTCCACGCCCCCTTACGCCTTCCTGTTGTGGTACTTAGTTAAGAAGAGAATGTTATCAATACTTTCATACTGCATTGCTTTAGATTACATTTTACGTTACAAAGGGAAGAACGTTCGGATGCTGCGCTATAGGGAGTGCGAGAAAAATTAGCGTCTTTAATTTAAGCAGAAAATGAACACGACTAATTAATGCCNCCTTAGATTACATTTTACGTTATAAAGGTAAGGACGTATGCTGTCAGTGAGTTCGGATGCTGCGCTATAGGGAGTGCGAGTAAAACTAGCATCTTTAATTTAAGCAGAAAATGAACACGACTAATTAATGCGATGCTCCTGTCCCTTTACTCCGGATATGGAGGTACCTGCTTGGTAGCAAGCAATGCTTTATATTATACATGTTATAACCTATGAAACTTTACTTACTTACTTACTTACTTACTTACTCATGAACCCGAGCCCTTCTCGAGGAGCCGCCAATTCAGTAGCTACTCAAGAATTTCCCAGCATTTCATGGAACCCGAAGGTTCATTAACGTGTTCACAAGAGCCCTCCACAGATCAATTCAATCCATACTATCCCATCCTATCTCTCTAAGATCAATTTTAATATTATCCACCCAACTACGCCTTTGTCACTTCATCCCTCTTCGGTCAAAATACTCTCCTCAACACCCTGAGTCTATGTTCCTCCGTTAATGTCAGAAACTAAGTTTCACACCCATACAGAACCGCAGGCAAAATTATAGTTTTGTATATTCTAATTTTTATGTTTTTGGACAACAGACGAGAAGACAAAAGGTTCTGGACTGAATGGTAGCAAGCATTACCCGAGTTCAGTCTCCTCTTAATTTCCTCCTGAATCAGGTTTTGATCTGTTATCGTTGTTCCCAAATATCTGAACTATGCCACATTTTCAAAACATCTGTTTCCTATCTTTAAGTCATGATTTTGCCCTAAATTTTGGTGACGAGAAAGCAACATATGAAACCTAACTTTGGTAAAATTAGAATTATTTACTTTGTCAGGAAAACAAACGTCTTAAACAATTAACATATACTTGTAAATATTCTTATTTTATGAAAAATTTGTATTAAAGTTCTGTGTGTACATATTGACTGTAAACTTAATTTTCATCATCCTGTTGATTTTCTTTTTTCATATCCAAACGAATTATTAGGGCTAATTCGTATAATCGCGTTTCCCTTTTCTACTACAGACAGTCTGCTGATGCTGTATTTTGTTCTGATCAGTTCTGAACTGGAGTGTGCTTCTGTTGCCTGGAACTCTGTTACAGTTACTGACTCCAACACATCTGAACGCATACAAAGTAAAATGTTCAGCCCTTAGCCAAAATAATTCTTTAAGATGTGTAATGTCATTATGACACTACATTGGAAAAATTAAATTTGCAGATACTGCACATCATGTGTCGTAACTTCGAACCCTTAATTGTCATAAATGTTCTTAGTGGCACTAAATATTGCCCCTCTATCTTGGAAACAGTCGGCCTTCGTGTTCTTACTCGGAACGTACTTAACTGTACCATGTTCAGATGCTCCTTCAGCTCGGTGTGTTTCTGCTGCAAATTCAGTTTGTATTTTGTTGTTCCCTGTATTCCTTTAGTTCATTTCGCCCTGTGTTGTCTTAGAGCCGCTGCCGTTTGCATTCGCTCTGACTCTGTAATTTGACAATGAGTGTTGAGTTCAGCACATAAACAAATAAAGACCTGAACTGAATTATACGAGCTACGATAGCTCAGTCGGTATAGCGACCGTCTACTGGCTGATTAATCTGGGTTCAACTTCCGGCAGTGTAAGATTTTTCTCTTCTCCACAGCGTCCAGACCGACTCTAGAGCTTACACTGCCTTCTATCCAATGGGGTACCCGCGACTTTTTCCCCCGGGTTAAGCAGCTGATGCGTGAAGCTGACCACTCACTTCCATCTGATTCCGAAGTTAGGAATGGTGCAGCTGTAACTACTCTCACATATGTCTTCATAGCATAGTTCTTAATTAATTAAACACAGGGACAACTTTGTTTCCTTGGCACTACAGCCCCAGTGAGCCCAGGCCTACCTCCATGAACTTCTCCGTTCACTTCGGTTTTTCTAGATCTTACACCTTCGATAGGACTCCTTGGGCGGGTGATCAGCTCGTCACAAGGCCTCTACCAGTATACAAACACAGGAAAACGCAAACATCCATGCCCTGAGTGGGATTCGAACCCACGATCCCTGCTTCCGAGCGAGCGAAGACAGTTCATGCCTTAGACCGCGCGGCTACCGTGACCGGCAGTGTATAAGAATAATATATAAGAATTCAGTTCGTACCTCACAGGAAACAGATCCGAACCCACGATCCCGGCTTCCGAGCGAGCGAAGACAGTTCATGCCTTAGGCCGCTCAGGGACTTTACTTTTACTTTTTTTTTTGTATTATATTACATTACATTCACTGCTTTGTTCATTCCTTCCTAGTCCCCACAGAGGCGTGTAGGCTGTTCAAGCGAAGAAGGGAAGAGTTTTGTGGGGCCAATTTCGGGCAATGATGATAAAGATGATTAAATTGAATTTGGGGAATTATTACAGGACGGAAATGTGTTAATTCGGTCAATTTATGCCATACCAAGCGTAGCACATCTACTTTCATAAACATTAAAGCTACTTAACACGTCACCATATTGAATGCCTGTGTACGAGTATTATGCTAATCAACGCTACCGATTAATTTCTAGCTCAAATTTATCAACTAAAGATTATCTGTTAATTAATTTCAAGCAGTGAGAAATCCTGTCATCATTGTGTCAGTTAACGATAGCGACATGTCAGTAACAAGCTTCAGTGGATTCATCCAGAACACGAGACAGACGAAATACATGTACTGTTATATCCACACGGCCATCATTGTTAAGTAGTTCGGTTATATAAGGAGTGTCGCGTTGCCAGCGCAACGGATCCCCACGGCCGTTAATCTCGGTTTTCTAGACTGGAGCCTCTATTTCCTTGAAATAGTTCCTTAGTTATCTTCTCGTGGCTCAGTGGATCCCGTTCCAGACCTACTACATCTCAGAAAATCTGACAGCGCCGGGAATCGAACCAAGGACCTCTGGATCTATAGTCAGGAACTCTGACCACTAGACCACAGAGGAAGTCTGCAAAGTTTTCAATATGTTCCTATAAAATTAATTATCAACCAAATAATTAATCATTGAGGTCGATTCTAAGCACTTCATTAAACCAAAATAATTTTACAGAATTCTGGAATATCTTACAAATATTTATACAGGTTTCACAGTTTCTTATTATTCCTCAGTTA